GCACAAAGGCACAAAAATCTCAGTGACATATTCAGTGAACATCAGAAAGTGTTCCAGAAAGTTCCAGTTTTCCAGAAAGTAAAGTGTGATAACAGGGACTGCTAAGAAATGAAGCTAGAAAGAGCAGGCATACTTAGATCATGAACAGTTTAGCCAAGGAGTTTACATTCTATCCAATGAGTAAGGGAAAGCCACTGAGTAATTTTAAGCATGAAGGAATTACTGCATTCTTGCTTTAGAAATATTGCTCTGACACTGAAAAACAGACAGGAAGAGCTACAGCCGAGAAGCACGGACAACTGTTAGAAGACTGCTAAATCAGTTCAGGCAAGAGACTAGCCTAGAGCAGTGGGGAATGGAGAGAGATTGAGTCAAAAGATAGGTAGCAGGTAAAACTACAGGATTTGGTAACAAGATAGACTGTGGTTTGAGGTTTGGTAGGAAGATGGAGGAAAGGAAGGAATCAAGGCAAATTCAAGGTTTTTAGCTTGAGCTCTGGGTGGATGGAAATGCCATTAACTAAAACAGGGAACAAAACAGGAGAAACAAGGAAAAGGAAGTAAAGCTGATGAGTACAGATGGTGTTAGTACTTCTGGTACATCCAGAAGAAATTGTCTAATAAATGGTTAAGTCTAGAACCCAAGAGAGAAAAATTTAAGATGAAAATATAAAACTGGGAGGTATTAGCCAGTAGAGTGGATGAAACTGCCTAGGAAAACTGTACAAAAGGATAAGAGGTCCAGAGACCACCAATATTTAAAACACAGGCAGACAGATAAATGAAAAGTAGAAGCGAGTGGTGATACAGAAGTTTGGAAAGGACAGAGTTTCACGAAGAAGGGAATTGTCAATGTATTGAATGTATCAAAGAGGTGAAGAGAAGAACTTTAAAGCTTCCCTCGGTTGGCAATTGAGTAACTGGTGACAGAGAGGTTACAGAGGAATGGATGGTTAAAAAAAAAAAAAAAGCTAAACTAGACAGGGTTTGAGTGAATGGCAGGGGAGGAAAGAGTAATCTTGACTGAGATGAGACTAAGAGCTAGAGAACAGAGGGTTAAAGAACATTTTCAAGATGGCAGAGATTTTAGCATTTTTATAGGGCTAGAAAGGGACCAGTGAAATGTGAGATTTTTAAATTATGCCTTTGTACTTAAACTTACTATAAGGAAAGTTACCCATTATACAATACTAAGTGAAAAAAGAAATGGAAGAATATGTATAGTAGGCTGTTACTTAAAATAAAATTCAGACTCTGTTTTATGCCTTTCAAGTTACTATCATTACCTTGTGTTAGCAACTACCTGAAATTCTTATTTGTTTAGTTGTCTATCTTCCCCCCTAGAATGTAAGCTCCATGAGAAGAGATTTCATCTGCCTTGTTCTCCACATATCCCTGCTGCTTAAAATAGTGCTTGGCACATAGCAGGCACTCTACTGTTGAATGAAAATGTGTATGTGCACACACACATACATATATATGAATGCATGTATTTACATGAAAAGCATAAAAAAAGTTCTAATTTATTATTTGAACTTATTTATGCCAGGGGTGAGTGTGAGACCAGGAGCAGAGGTAAACAATACTGATTCATTTTTTGCTTCATAGATCTCTATTCAAATTTTCTACAAAAATCATGTCTTTTGTAACTGAAAAACAACTTTTAATAATGATCAGATGAGCCTAAGAAAGTTAATCTATTCTGCCTCTCTATTTTCTTTTGGTGGGTTGTCTTGATCTAATCTGACTGAAGGCTGATCCTTGAGCTGTTTTGGTAGGGCAGTTCAAAGTCAGAATCTTAAACCTTAGAGCTGGAAAGAACGTAGACAACATCTAAGCCAACCCCCTAGCTTTACAGATAAGAAAGCAGACACTCATAGTAATTTAATAAAAGGTAACTTAATTAATAAAATTAGGGTACTGATGAGAAGTTTTTAAAGAACAAATGATTAGGAACTATTTAAAAGGCTAATCTATTATATGCTATACATAATTTAAATGATAACTAATGAAAGCTTACTAAAGCTTATTCTCACATATAACCTACAGTCTTCTGGTGAAATTATTACTCAAAGTAAAACTATTTCCTTAAGCACACTATTTGACCAATGAACCCTACAGTTAAGCACTGGCTAACCATTATAATATGACAAAGGATTCAGAATACACAAATATAGGGAGTGAGGTTATTCACCGTTACGTGTGCAAACTAACTGAACTAACAGGCACTTCTTTCTACCAGGATACACAATAGGTCAAGTATATATTACATTTAAGGATTGATCACACTTTGACTCAAATGTCTGTATCAATGTCTACAATGTGTATTTAATAGAATTTAATAAAAATTAAATTTTGAATAGGTAAGTAATACACTACTAAGTATTTAGGGAAATGACTTAACTATTTCTCTTTACATATATACTGTAGTTTACCAGGAATACAACAAATTTTATCTAAACTTCTGAATATCACTTTGAACTTGTTTACAAACTATCTCATTTGATCCTCACAACAACCCCATAGACAGCAGAAATTATTACTCCCATTTAATATATAAGAATGAGGCTCAGAAGTTAACTTGACTAAGGTCATATTGACAAGTCCTAGGACCCAGATCCTCTACCTCTTAGCCACTGTTCTTTCCATCACCCAAGCTACCTCATATTTACCATTTATTAAAGGGCAAACCACTTTATAATTTCCTTCCTTCCACAATGGTGGAGGTGGGGAGGGCAGGTACCTAAGCCCTAGCAATCCTATCCCTTTCTATTCCATTTGAAAGTTTGGTACGTAAGAAAATATTAGCCATTCATCTTAATAGTGACAAAGAAAGATGTGACAAGTCAACTTAGTTGAGAATTGTGCACATCAGTAATTCTGTATGAAATCCTACCAAGTATTCAATTATTTCCTTAATTCTAATAAAAGTATCCTCTTGTTTAGAAAGCTCTCTAGGGCTTCCCTGGTGGCGCAGTGGTTGAGAGTCCGCCTGCCGATGCAGGGGACACGGGTTCCCGCCCCGGTCCGGGAAGATCCCACGTGCCGCGGGGCGGCTGGGTCCGTGAGCCATGGCCGCTGAGCCTGCGCGTCTGGAGCCTGTGCTCCGCAACGGCAGAGGCCACAACAGTGAGATGCCCGCGTACCGCAAAAAAAAAAAAAAAAAAAAAAAGCTTCCTATTAGAAAGCTCTCTATAAACAATACCCAAAGTAGTATGGGCTTAATAGTTGAAAAAAATCTGAAACCAAATCTCAGTCCTATCACTCACTAGCTATTCAACTGTGGGTACATTTCTTAACTTCTTTGAGTCTCACTGTCCTCATCTCTAGAGTGACGATGACACCATCTACCTCTGTGAGGTGTTGAGCAGATTGAGTGATAATATGTGCAAAGCCTTTAGTTCTTAGAAAAGGGCCAGAACACACCAAGTTCTGTTGGAGAAACAAACATGCAGGAAGGCACTGCTCATGGGTAATGTCATTTATGTGAACTTTACTAGTATAACTTCTAGTGTGACCTTACTTCTTGTCTCTCTCCAATATCTGGGGCAGGATACAATATATCACTCTTGCTCCCAGGGTACCAATTTACAGTGTGTGCTGGATTTCAGCCCTCTTCTAAATCCTCTAGTTAAGGAATATCATAATCTATTATTTGACTATCTTAGAATTGGCCATACCAAACCAAAGCTTACACTATTTTCACTCCACTCTTTAAGTCTGCTAACTGCATCATTCACTATTTTGAAATAAAATAAGAGTAAGCCAATTTTATAAATACAAATCATGATACAGCGAATTCATGTTGGGTGAAAAGGGCAGGAATTTTCAGGGGGCAGGGGGAGGGGAGAAGGACCTAACATTGAGAAATTATGTATTCAGCACTCCATCATGCACTAAATTTACTTTCTTTTAATCTTCCCAGGCATCATTCTAATCAAGATTAGCATCTTTTACAGATTTTGCAAGGGAAGCTTAAACCCTGGCTCACTCCCCCTTGCTCAAGGTACTATAACCTACAGGAAGGCTCTTGCTCAACTCAAGGCCTTTCCTCCTCCTCTTGTAATCTCTGCCCAGAATGCTCTCCTGTCTCCTACAAGGCTGTCGCCTTCTCCTGCTTCAGGGCTCACTTCAAATAGTTCCTACTCTCTCTATCTCTAAAGTAGAATACACCAGTTACTCCATCCTTATTTCCTTCATAGAAAACAAAGCCATCAGTATTCATCTTCTTCCTGTGTTGAAGGACAGCACAGATGATGCTGGCTTAATGAATGAGTGAACACACCTGCCTACAGACATTTAGCAAGTAAAAGGCAGGGCCTGGAGACCAATCCAGATTAACCTGACTGCAAACCCCTGCAGTTCCCTACCACTATTTTTTTTCACTGGTGGAAGGGGAGGTGCTTCGGGCTGGGAAGAGGCATGCCTTCCTACTTTCTATCCGTATTCATTCACTTTAAAGAAATTACAGAACTACCTACACATATACTTAATACTACAAAACATTTAACCAAAATTTCAAGAGATCTTACATTGCCTTTTAGAACCACAACTCAATTTGGGAAAACAAAAACAAAAAAGCCCACTGCGTTTATGATGCCCCTGAACAATCAAAATACCTCCAAACTGTTGAGTAATTGGATTGGCATCTCCACATATGGTTATTTAAGGCCAAAAGAAAATTTAAGTCACACGTATAAATAAATGCATTTTACTAACAGACTTGCTTGTAATATTTTGTTCTTTTATAAGATGTTCTGAATTTCCCAATACTTCATACAGAAAAATCTTAAAACCAGCCATGGGATTATCATTCTTATCATGGTAATCATGTTCTTTCTTAAAGAAAGATGATACGAATGCACTCCATCTGTCGTGTTTCACTATTAAACCATGTTCTTGCAGACAGAAGTCACCTCGGTAAAACGCCCAGTGCGGTGAGAGCCGACCACTAACAACATTCCCTTTGTTGCCTTCCCCACGCGGTTTAATACTTACTGCTGAGTCCTCCATCCTCGGAGACTCCTGTCCCTCTCATTCCTAGGTAAGTCAGTCCCAATATGAGGAAAAATAGGCAGGCAGCAGTTAAGAGAAACATGGACAAGTAGTGGGCACTGAAACCCCCAGTTGGGGACACCTCCTCCCGTTTAAATTGCTGGAGAAGTTCCTCCTCAGGTTCGGAAAGCTTCGGTTTGTTATATGTGTTCTTCAGGTAGGTATGATTGGAGCCCGTATGATTGGAGTGATTGATCCTGAGTGAACTAGAGGCGGCCACCGCCGCACTGGGAGGGAGGCTGTTGGGAAAAATCCTGGGGGAGTCCACGCCGAAGGCCACACCGCCGATATGATTATTGGTTTTAAGAAGGGAGCCTGTGGACGAATCCAAGGTTGAGTCCACGTCCGCGAGCGGTGGCTGCAGGAGAGGGGCCAGTTTCTTAGCGTTAACGCGGTATCTAGGAATGGGGCTGGAGTCCGGGGGATCAAACCCTCCTCCCTGCTCCGCCGCCGCCGCCGCCGCCGCCGCCGACGACGACGACTCTTCGACGTTTCGGCTCCTGTCTAGACTCCCGGCGGCCGCCGCCCTGTCATTCATCTTGATTCCGCCCCCTCCCTGAACTGAGGTCTCCAGTCGGCCGCCGGCCGATTTCGCAGGCAGGGGAGAGAGAGGCTTACTATGGCCCCGCCTGGGCCGATGCCGGGAAAGGGAGTCGTCCTTCAATACCTGTCTGCTGGAGGCCACGTCGTCGTCCTCCTCTTCTTCCGAGTCCGAATAGTTCTCCCGGCAGCTGTAGGGGAGAAGCCGGCTGCCATTCACGGTCCGGCCGGACCACAGCGGCTCCTCGGCCTCCGGGTCCCTATCCTCGCCGTCCTCTCCCTCCTGCTCCCCGTCGTCCGCCGCCCCATCTCTCCCCGACGGGCTCTGCAGCTCGGCAGCCGCCGGCCTCCTGGCCCCCCACCACGAGTGGGGCTTCCTCCGCTCGGCCGAGTTGCTGTTAGTCACCTCGCTGGAGGCCAGGGGCGCCGACGTCGGTTTGAGCCCGCGATACTGGAGCGGAGCCCGGTCTTTCCTCCCGCCGCCGCCCCCGCCGCCGCCGCTGCCCCCGCCGCCGCCGGCCTGGTCCCGGGGACTGGCCTCCACGTCCGACTCGTCCGAGCTGAAGCCCAGCAGTACTTTGCTGCCAGCCGTGGGGGCGGCCGAGGCGCCCCCGGGCCCTCCCAAGGGGCTCTCCGGGCCAGAAGCCGAGATCCGGCCCAAGCCTCCAGGAGTCCGTAAGTAGGAGAGGTCGCCTGAGACCTGCCGGACCCCCATCCCCACGGCCGCCGCCGCTGCTCCCGCGGCGGCGACCGTGGCGGTTGCCGTGTTATTGTTATTACTGTTCCGCGTCTTGGTGCTGCGGCCCCCGGACCGGTGCTGCTGCTGCTCTTCCTCTCGAAGCTTCTTCAGCTTCTTGAGGTAGACCGGGCGGGTGCTCTCCGTCACTGGGCCAGGAGATAGGCCGTAACGGCGGAGCTGAGAGAAAAGCTCCTCATCCGAGAGCTGTTGAGGCGCCGAAGCCGTCGCTGCCGCCATTTTCTCTCCAGGGTGTTTTACAAGCTCCGCGCTACCGGAAGTGACGCGCCGCCCTAGACCCTGAACTAGACCGGACTGCGTCGCCCTCCCAGCGCCACTGGCGCCTTGGCCAATGGGAGGCGCGGGAGGAGCTCACCTGAGCGGGAAAGGGCCACCTGAGTCGCGCGCGGCAGAGACTTCTGCGCTTTCACCTCGGGGTGCCAGCGCCTTCTTCCCCTTCCTTTCTGTCACCTTCTCCGGCTGTTCTCCGCCCTGCCCTTCCCAGCGCCTCTCCTGGGAACTGCCTCTGGCCAAACCACACCTTGACCTCTTCTTCCCAGGTTCCTGCCACCGGGCAGTAATATTGAAGGGAAAACTGAAGTTTATGGCAGTGGTTTTCTTTCGTCTTGATTACCGCTGCCAAGGGGAGCTTAGAGACTTAAAGAAATCCTGATGGCCAGACGATTGGTAATTTTCCTGACTCCTGGTTCCCTCTTTTCGCTTTGTCTTTCCGACTGACTTACCAAAAAAAAAAAAAGTGAGTTGCTCTCGCTGCTCATTTGAGAAGCCTCTCCTCTAACATTCCAAGGAAAAGATAGAGTAAACCAGCCCCGATACAGTTTTCTTCAAGAGTAATGGCTATTCGTTCCCTAGTTAGTTGTACGGTATTATCGTTTTTCCCCTTTTAAAATCTGATAACCTTGATAGGTCGTCGTTTTTGGAATTGAAAGAGCCAATCACATTATATGGCTGAAAAAAAAGAGAACGTGCCATCCTGCTTATTTGCTTCTTAAGACCTTTTCAACCTATAGTTATTTATTTATTGTTAATGAGTATTTGTATGCATTTGCTTTCCTAATTTTCAATTTATTTATTGTCTTATCCCTTTGAACTGTAAGCTTTATGAGCAGAGGAACCTTGCTTCACCCCTTTAGTGCCTGACACTTCAGGCACGTTCAGTACACGTTTGTTGAACTAATTAATGAATTGCAAAGCTAGGATAGTGTGAGATGAATATTTTGACATGGGAGTAGTGACAGATGAAGAGGAGAAACCTTCACACACAGTCAAAAAAACAGAAACGATTAAGACCTGGATATCCAACCCCCTCATTTACAGACTAGGAAATGAATCTCAGATGAAATCTTCCCAGTTTGGTAAAGATCGCTTCCCTTTTCCTCCAACACTGGCAGAGCTGACACTTCTTGAATACTTAAACGCTAGCAGCTACATGGCAGCACCTAGCACAATATCTGGCACGCTATGATAATTTTTGTCAAATTATTTTTCCCTATTACATTATACACATCTGAACGGAAAAATATGTTAGTCAAAAGCATAGATACTAGCTTTTTAATATCCTGAATCCAACAGCAGAATAATACTCAGTAACCTGAACTTTTGACTTTTCTTAGCAAAAGCTTGCTGTCTCCTCAAAAATACTCTTACATGGACGGGCACTTCCTTGTCCTTTATCAGAGGACTTTAAAATCTACAAATATTCCTGAATTCTAGGACTGTTAAGTAATTTAAAAAGTGCTTGACATAGAAAATTTTAGCCACTACGATGATAATGACCCCAAATTTATTACCATAATTGTCTGGGTCGGGAATCAAATGATTATAAACGTATTAGACTTGTGTCTCAGGATAGCAGAGGAGTTAAGCTGTGAGTCTGAAGTTAAGCAAAACTGGATGGGGACCCAGCCCTGTCGCTTAATTTCAACATTTGTTCCACACCCTATGGCTCTCCAGGTAGGAATCATAGAAGTCAGCCTCTGATTTTCAGGAATCTTTTGATATTCTATAAGGATTTGAAGACCATTTATATTTCTGCCTGTGACTTAGGGCAAGTTATTTAATCTTTCTGAGCCTTAGTTTCTGTATAAACAAAAGAGAGATGATGAACCTTCCTCAGAAGGCTTTTTTTTTTTTTTTTTTTTTGCGGTACACGGGCCTCTCACTGCTGTGGCCTCTCCTGTTGCGGAGCACAGGCTCCAGACGCGCACGCTCAGCGGCCATGGCTCACGGGCCTAGCCGCTCTGCGGCATGTGGGATCTTCCCAGACCGGGCACGAACCCATGTCCTCTGCATCAGCAGGCGGACTCTCAACCACTGCACCACCAGGGAAGCCCCAGAAAGCTATTTTAAGGATTAAATGAGAATATGTCTGCATAATTCTTAGCACCACACCTAACACACAATGTAAATTCAAATGTTAGCCAGTAATGTACAGCCAAGCATTGTGTGTGTGTTTGGTAGCATGGCTTCTGAGAGAGAACTCCATGTAACAGCAGTTAAGGAAAATACCACTGCACAGACAGAAGTAGAAATGGTGAACCTTTGCCCAAGGCATCAAATAATCACATTTAGTAATTAATGAAGACAAAGGGGTTTGGCAACCACAGTCGTTTTAGCCCTTGGGGGCGGAAAGATTTGGAATGAACTAGGAACCAAAGGTCTGGATTCTCCAAGTTATGGGACTTAGGGAAAATCTTAGGTTCTCAGAACCTCAATTTATTCTTTTCTAAAATGCTGATAATATTGTCTTTCCTTCTTGGGCACACAATTAATATTCAATAAGTATCTGTTAAGAATAATGAATGAATGTATGTGAAAATTCTGTTCAAATACATTGTTTACATGCTAGGTATTATAGCCAGATAGTCACAACAATGAAAACTACAATTGGTATAAACTTTATACTTTACAAAGAGATTTTATATACATGGTCTCATGGAGTCTACAAGAAACCTTTTCTCCTTAAAGGTATTGAGGGCATGATTTATTGCATGGAACTATGTGGGGTTATAATTACCCTTTGAGTGTTTGAGCAGATCTTATACTTTCTCAGGAGAACCTTCACTGACCCAGCACTGTCACTACCTGCTTCCAAAGTTCTCCTCATTTACCAATGGATCTTACTCCTGCTTCCAGATTGGCTAACTTTTAAAGCACAAGCCTCTAAATTAGCAACCCATGGTCTACAGGGAATGCAATCTCAAACTCACTCCTGCTCTACAGCTTTCAAAATTTTGACTAAGGGAAACATTTATGAAGGAGTATAGAAGGATAGGCAGTCTATCTCTTCCTCTATATGTTTTTAATATTATCTCTGCCTTAAGCCTGCTGGTCAGAGACCAGTGAAGCTTGGGTCACATTGCTAACACCATACTCCCCCTGGTTCCCAGTTAAAATACCTATTGCCGTATTTCCCTTCATAGTCAGGGCATCAGCCTTTATTGAAGGACCTTCTAAAGAATGATATGACACTCAGCATTATGTTCAGAGATATTGTTAAGTGTTTATTTCCTTAGAGAATGTCATTTCAGGCCTCAGTATTAGAAATAGTTGTACTTTTCCAGACAACTCATTTGTTTGGGTTTTGGATTGGTTTTGCTTTGTTTAATCTATTTATCATTATTTTTTATTGAGGTAAAATTCACATAGCATAAAATTAACCATTTAAAAGTGCACGATTGGTGGCATTTTGTACATTTACAAAGTTGTGCAACCATCACCTCTATCTAGTTCCAAAACATTTTCAACATTCCCAAAGGAGACCCCATACCTATTATGCAGGCATTCCCTATTTCTCCCCCTCTTCAGCCCCTGGCAACCTAATCTGCTTCCTGTCTCTATGGATTTAACTATTCTGGATATTTCATATAAATGGACTCATACAATAATGTGACCTTTTGTGTCTGACTCCTTTCACTTAGCATTTTGAAATTCATCAGGATGTAGCATGTGTCAGTACTTCATTTCTTTTTTATGGCTGCATAGTATTTCCTAGTATGGATATACTACATTTTGTAGATAATTCATCCATTGATGGGAATTTTGGTGGTTTCTACCTTTTGCTATTGTGAATAATGCTGCTATGATGTACAAGATGTACACTGATGTACAAGTATCTGTTTCAATGCCTGTTTTCAATTATTTTGGGTGTGTACCTAGGAATTTCAGTTCATATGGTAATTGTATATTTCACTTCTTGAGGAATCACAAAACTACTAATTTGTTTTTAACCTTATGGATGGATGCTGTTGGTTTGCTGACTTGCCATGTTTCCCTGTTTGAGATGACAGCTAGGAAGTTCATACTCAAATTTGTGTCCCAACTATAGCAAGTGTTTAGGGCTCCATAGCATATATTTAAAACATTAATCCCATTTCTAATGCCATCTAAATTTTCTGACTTTATATTCATGTGCCTCATTTTAAAAAGTGATTTCAATTTTATTTTCTCTTCCAAAGATGATATGCATCTTTTTAGCTATCTTTTAATTATTTGGGGAATACCATATAATTCCTTTGGCAATCCAAAGGGTAGGTTTTATTAGTTTTCATCTTTTACAGATAAGGAAACTGAGGTTAGAAAAGTTACTTGATTCAAGTCTCAAGAACCAGATGGAAAACTGAAACCTATGACCTCAGAGTCCAAATTTCATGTTCTCTCCACTATAGCACACCACTTCTTGAATACCTTTCTTAATTCAAACAGTAATATGTGTAAAAATAAACTTAGTTCCCTCTTTTCTCACCCATCCTAAAGAGGGAGTAGTCTGTAATGAGGTGAGGAAGAGGACAAAAGCTTTTACAATTGACCTATTTCTTAGTTTTATTTCTACATGCAACAACTAGAAAGAAAACTCAGAAATATAAACTGATTATTTCAATTAACTTTTTAGCAGATCAAAGAAGTAACACAATATCATAATGATGGTATCACTTAACTTCTCTTAAAGTGCCTCAAGGATGTCTTCACTAGTTGAATCTACAAAGTTCCTGATGTTTATTTTTCTTTTTAATTGCTTAACTTTTATTCAACACTAACAGTGATTCTAAGGAAGAAGCCAGAATGAACAGGCTGAAAATGCAACATGGTATTGAGAAATGTTAGATAAAATTCTTATCCTATGTTGTTGTGAGAATTAGCCAAGAAAGTTTCATAGCAAGAGCATCTGTTTTATTTTTCTGTATATAACTCAAACAGGTAAGGAACGGTCATACAACTCC